TCCGTAGCAAAAGTACCTGAGGGAAAACAATTATAAGATTATTATACTTTATTTCTAATTTAAGGTGTAAATAAAACACAAGAAATCTATTTAGAAATAATTAATTTCGACGAAGCAAAATATATTTTGTTGTTTTATTTTACACTTACCAGAAACTAGCAGGACTAGAAAAAATATATGAAAGATGTATTTTTTTCCAATCATTTTGTAATTTAAGCCAATATCCTATGTCAATGTATAGGTACTAAAAAGTGATTGGTAATGTCAACAATTTTATTTCGTTACGTGAATAGTAAAATCATTATTATTAACAATTTTATTTTATTTGAGGAGATAGGGGCTAATTGAATTTAAATATAGGCAGTACATAAAAAGATTTAATCAGATTTATTCTGAGCTGTGTGCTTTAAAAATTTATTAAAAATAAATGTGAAATGTGTTGATATAAAAACAATCTTATTCCTTTAAATAATGTTATATAATTCAAGACATATATCATAATTGTATAAAATTTTAATTCATCACTCCCCAATTTTCTCAAGTTAGTTTAGAATAAACGTTTAATTAAACTTATTTTTATTTCGTGATTGTTTAAGTAAAAGTTATTTATGGCAGTTTTAGCACTCTGACAACAATAAGATAAGGTATTTCTTAAACATCATCGCAATCAAAAATGATGTTGTTCAAACCCTACATTTTCAATATGACTTGTCGTCTTTTTGGAATGTTGATATGAGCTAGAAAATATATATTCATAATTTTATTTGACATTCTCCTTTGAAAGATATAATATTTAAGTTATTATATAACAAATACTTATCCTATATACTTTATATAAATGACTGTCAATTTTTTACATATAATATACTTTTCTTGTACACTTTATATGACATTCATTTTTTGAAAGTTCTTTATAAACTTTTCAACCGAATTTTACTAAATTTAATAAATAGTAATAATAAATAATTACAGCACCACGGTTTGTCTATTTATTAGTCACATAAAAAAAAATTAATAATTGAATGTTTCTCAAAACCAAACGGATAATATGATTAATTATTACTTAGAATCAGGGCCGTGCCTGGGTATATGGCCGCCTGCGTGCCAGTCTGTATGGCCGCCCCCAGGATAACATTAAAAAAAACTACTTTAATTTTTAATGTTTATTATTATACACAGGGCATCAAACCGGGAAAAAAATCAGTTTTGGTTAATTTATTTTTATTCGTTAAATTAAAGACTTTAATAATATCGGATCACACACAGGACACAAATAACGATTTATCCTCGCTAGTCTATAGACTAATACGACTAATAAGACGAATAAGACCGCTTACGCAACGCCGGTCAATTGAAAAAACTATTTCGGCTCGTCGCTCGTGCAATGTTCGAAAAAATTCGGATTCGCTGCATGACTAGGTTTATAAATACTACAACGACCTAATCAGTTTTTATACATTTCTTATTTCTGAGAAACTCTTTTTAGATAGATTAGATTAGAGAAACTGTTTTTACTTCGTATCTTAATGAAAACAAACCGATTGTATTTTTGCCCAGTAAACAACTTGTAACGATTTGGCCGCCTCTTAATTTCGGCCGCCTGCGTGCGGTGCACGCAATGAACGCCCGTCAGGCACGGCCCTGCTTAGAATCGGCTACAGTGATATAAAAAAAAGACGATTTAATTAACGAAAGCAAAGTTTTTGAATGTTAGCAAGCAAATAAAAAAATTGTTAACAGATAACGAACAAATAGTTATTTTCATGGTTGTGAGATCAGGAAAGCCACCTGTTAACTTCAAACTTAAAGCTCCCGACCGCAAAAGTATGAGTTATTTCATACTTGTAAGGTCATTCTAAAATCTAAAGTATATAGACGAAACCTCTAAGCATTCAATTGATTTACCGAGCGGCTGTCGGGTCCATTGCATTGCAGGGAGAGGAGCTTCAACAGTGCCTGGGATTTGCGACCCAAGTGTAGGTTTAAGGGGCCCTTAACTAACGCGCGTTCTACGCTCACCTCCACTGTCCAAGCTCCTCTCCCTACCTAACTAAATTTGAAAAGACTACTACCAACTACCTACTAGGGCTGCCTTCGAAGTATGTCCATTCTGGACAGGCCCAAGTCCTTTAGTACATTGTAGAGTGATTTAGCCGTCATACCTCTCATTGCCACTTCTACTGCGTATAAACCTATTTCAAGTGAGTTCGTTAGTCAGCTCATAATATTTATTGACCTTAATGGTATGATCTTTGGGCTGTTGGTTTCCCAAGGAACCGTAAGCTCTATCATCACAACGCGCTTTAAAATTCAAAAATACATAAATATGTTTGGGCGACTGAAGGCTGACGGACAAATATCCTCGAGGATACTGTATTTGATACGTATCTATGGTTGGTTGGTTGATTCATATTATTGGTTATGTTTTCAGAATATAAAGGTTCTTTTAACTCTTTTACGATAAATCTAGAATATGTTTTTAAATATCAAGTTTGAATTTTATAAAATCAGGGTGGAATAATATACATATAGGTTTACTGCACTGTAATTGTTGTATTTTTAATTGTAAATTGTATAGAATACGCTAAATATATTTAGGGTTTTGATTTAAAACATTTTATTTTCAATGAAAGGTTATAAATGAAATATATTGTATACGATTAGAAAATTGTTTATTTATAAATTACACTTCATTATGCTTGTACGCTTTGTAGGACCACTGGACTTGTGCTTACACTGGCAATAGACTCACTGATTGGACCTTCTGAAAATTGCATTTATTAAGGAATTAATGTTAAGATAAAGTAAGACATGGCTGAAGAAAAAGAAGGAGAAAGTTATTTTATAATATGTTTAATTGAATTCGTACCATCTATTGAAGATAAAAAATCACTGTCGCCGTCTAGGCCAGGGTCGAAAAAATCTGTTATATCAAACACATCGGGGAAATGCGGATGGAAGAAATTAACTGAAATAATGTGCATAAGTTCGTATTTCTAGTTATGGATATATAAAACTATAAATATGACCATCAAACAATATCAAATACTTACACGTGCCCTCTACTATTAAGCAATAACATGACAAAATGCATATAATAAATAAAGTTTTGTCCATTTTAAAGTCCTATTAAATTAAAAACGAATGTTTTGTGTTTCTGTTTTTATAGGAATTGTTAAATTGTTATTTAAAATCGTGATCCACGTTTTAGATAATTTAAATGTAATAATATTGCTCTATAATAATACGAACCTTGCAAGTGTTATTTACGTATTTATTTTATAATAGGTATATACCATATGAATATCCATAAAACAATTTAATATCCCTGATAAAAGGCTATTTTGGTTTTAATATTTTCAGAAACTTTTATAAAACACTCTGAAAGAAGGGACCATGTTTACATATAATGAAAACTCTTCAAAATTGAAAATCGGCCATGCTGTACTTATTTTTAATAATTTTAATTAAAAAGGCCCCATTTCTTCTATCAAAGGTATAAGTTTAGATCCATTCACCTTCCTGCTACTATTCTGGTCTCATAAACTTTGGTCAGAAAAAGTCAGTGGTGACCTAGTGGTTAGAGGGCTCGACTCTCGTACCCGAGGGCGCGGGTTCGATCCTGCCAAGTACCATTGTGATTTTTCCGAGTCATATGTACTTTTTAAGAGTATTTAGACATCATTGACAGACGGTGAAGGATAATATCGTGAGGAATTCTGCACTTATAATTTCACAATTATACGTTTGAAATCACCAGCCCGTCTTGAGCAAGCGTGGTGATTAATGCTCAAACCTTCTCCATGTGGGAAAGAGGCCTTTGCTCATTAGTGGGCTCTGATAGGCCGAAAAAAAAGCTTTGGTCAACCATATATATATATATATATATATATATATACTTACCATATACTTACCTGTATACTTAAACTAAGATTGTATGTAATTTAATTCAAGAGTTCATTTAATTTTCTCAGTAGCATTTACCAAACACACGAGAGCGCATTGGCGTAGAATTTTCTTATATTATGTATTTAGCTCAAAAAGTGAGGAAAGCATCTTAAAACATTTTAAGCCTTTACTTAATTTGAGTAACGAAATGTTAAAAAGAATACTGAATATTTTTTTTTCATATAAAATTAATAATTCTGTATTGTCATTAGTGAGAAATAATTTAAGTCTACTGTTTGTCAGATCTAAGCAAAAAGATTATTTTTGTATCATGCTTGACCTTTTCTGTATATAATTTTGCTCCATTAAATGACAACAGAAGGCTTTTGATTATGTTTTGCTATTTTTACTTAAATATCTTCAACAATACAAATTATATTATGAAATATTTTATAATCTAAGGCTGTTTCACCTTTTCACTTTCAACCTTTTATTATTCTTATTTCATTTTGAAAAAGCTCCTTTTCTTTTTAGATAACCAAGTATTTGTTTTGTTTCAAGGTTTATTGATTTAATAAATATTATGAAGTAGGTTTTGATGGAGTTTATCTTTAATTTTTTTGTACATATAATACTCGAAGATTTTGTACAATATGAAAAATATTCATTATCTTTAGATGCTTTAAAAAACCAAATTTCGTATTTACAGCTAGTTTGTCTATTTTAATGGTACTTGGTCTACTTACTTGGTTTTTTGTTAAATAAAATGTTACACACCTATTTCAGTATCTTTCTTGAAATATATAAATCCATTAGTAAATTTTCAGTTTTTATTATATATTAAAGTGCATCGTCTATTGTCATACTTGTGTTGTGAACATAAAACATACAAAAATTAAATTGTTTCATATATATTTTTATTTTATCAAGAAAACGGGAATTTAAGTGACTATTTTATTTCACAATTATGAAATGTTAGTACAAACTTGTTATTTGTGTGCTTCACTGTCCCTTTTAACATAAAAAGAATAATTTCTTTAGTTTTGCAAAAATTTACGCCAACACCTTAATTGAAATGCATTTTTGAAGTTGTTATGTTGTGTAAAATGTTATTATGCAGAAATTCTTGTTGCTTGTTGTGACGTTGGCTTTGCTAAACTTCTTGAATTTGCTCCATTAGCAGTATTGACTGAAATTATACAGAGAACAACAGTATTACAAAACTTATGCATAATTTTTGAAGATAGTCTTACCAGTTCCCAATAAAGTTCTTATTTGATCTTCTGTTTAGTCTATAAATTAATTAGATTTTTTTAAAAGTTTTATGAATTATTTATGATAATTGTAAGTAATCATGGATCATTAACAAAAATTTACCATAAATCGGTGGCACGTATCCATTGTCTTCAATTTCTATGACCGGCCTTTGTTCCATTTGTGGACTACCAAAAATTTGTGCTAGTAATGTTTGTATCATACACATGGGATCTATGGCATAGTAGGGGCAGGCTATCGTAGCTACAATTAAATTAAAATGCTTAATAAAAATGTATGTAAGTAAACTTATAAATCATTGTAACAAGACAAAATAACTTACGGCCTACAACACTTAAAGTGTATAAAGCTATTAATGGTATAATAAATTTGTTTGTCATTTTGAATTATTAGTGGAATTAATAACATTCGTGGTTGTTACTTTTATACTATGTTTTCCTATTAAATAACAATTAATATTCCAGTGAAGCACGACATACTTTATACTACTCTTGTAATTTCATATAACATATTTTAGTATACAAATATTAAAGATAAGGCACAGTTTTTATTCAATTTTACATAAATTTTTCATCCTTTGCCATCAGTGTGAATTTAAATTTTGTAGACGCTTAAACTGCATAATGTCACACATATTTTATATACTTGCAAACATATGTAATTTAAGTTTAGCAAAAATGTTGAAATATTTATTTAATGTGCGTTTCACAGCCGCTAGAGGTTCCAGGAAAACTGCGAAACTTCCTTATATATTATAAGAAGAGTTACATATTAAAATTTAAAACCAATACCTATGATTGCCATAATATTAGGATGGCAATGAAATTATATCGCTTGTGTTGTATCATCAATGTTCTGGTTCATGAGGCCAGGTGTTCATTTCGCCGAGTCAGCAACGTCACTCGTAATATGATATTGTATCCATACAACATTGTTGCTCCGGCGATGTTCGATTAATTTTTAATATCTTGCGCGTCTGTACAAGCTATTAGAAGTGGACACGATTGTCACTTTAGTGATTTTACTAAAGGTTTTTTGTTTTATAACCTTACGATAACTAAGATGAAGTCACTGAAGATTTCCTTTTTGCAATTTTTTAAAGAACGATATTGCGTAAGACGCTTACGATAAATAATTAAAAACTTTTCCATTAGTAGGTACCATAAGAAAAGAATAATAATATATCCAACTTGTTCACAAAATACTTATTTTTTCTGTTTATTTCAGGGCGTTTTTATGCGTATCAAAACTAGTTTATGTCAAAAGTAAAAAAAAAAGACCGAAAAAATTCTACAAAGAATACAATAATTAAATATTGTTTTAGATCTTACTGTTCTTAATATTATTATCAACAATAGATTAAAAATAATTTAATTTTAAGTAAAAATAGCTTGTGGTTTGTGGTTAGGTTTTAATAACTGTTTCCAGTTTATTTCCATATTTGAATCAAAAAAATCTAGACGAAATTCCGTCTTATTCATCGAATAATTTACGTTTAGTTCTAGTACTACATACATATTACTTTTATGAATTTATGAGCGTTACAGAAGAATACACAAGCGCTGACACTCATAGTCGGCAATAAATTGACAACAAGATAGAACAGCTTATAAAACTTCTATCATTGGGATATTTTGTATATTAACTATTTATATCTATATCTTAGGTAGAGAGAGGAGCTTGGACGGTAGAGGTGAGTGTTGAGGGGACCCTTAAACCTACACCTGCGTCGCAAGTCCCAGGCAGTCTGTTGAAGCTCCTTTTCTTCCAACGATGGACCCGACACCCGCACGGTGAATCCATTGAATGCTCAGAAGTTTCGACTTTTTCTAGTATTAACTAATTAAGGTAATATAATTTAAGTTATTATAATATCAATAATGAATTATATCGCTGACAAATAATATGAAAAAAAGCTTTTCTTGATGTTCCAGTGAGTATGATGGAAGATTGTTGTTAATAAACCCCTTGTTGTTAATAAACAAGTAGGTTTTAGCGCTTTGTTATTTAGTCACGAACAGAAATGAAATAAATATATCTATTGCATATACTTTTCCAGGTTTTAACTACAACATCATACTAATAAATCCTTCTATGTGTGTTTTTATTTCAAGTTCCAATTCATTTGTACTTAAATAAACTAAGTAAAATGCATAGTTATATAATTTCAAGTACGTCTTTTTTTTTAAATATAATTCCAGTGGAACAGGGTAAATTTTATAAATAAAGTTACTTTACTTATGTATCAGATTATTTCTTATAGAGGAGTAGTTTCCTTGATAACATAACCCTATGATTTTAATTAATATGTCATTTGGGCTCATACGATTACAATATCCTGTGCTTTTATTATTATTTGACCCAAGGGCAGAAAATTCATGTTTTTCACATCTTTATGTTACCTATGCTGCCTGCTATAGCAATCTTTATGTCGCCTGTTGCTGGTACCCCAAGCAGTTTGTTTATTGATGTTCGAAATAGAAAAAAAAATATTTTGTTGAATTTATTATTTAGGTTATTAGCTAAAAAATATTCAAAACTTTACAACTTTCGATGTGATTTTCCATCAATCAGGTAGTTTCAAGAAATTGTAGAAGGAAATAAAAATCATAATAATACGCTAAAAACTTATTACTAAGCTTAAGGAAGTTAATCAGATACTATTTGATTAGTCGTTGCTAATTTTGGGAAGTCTGGGTAATAAACATAGCATAATACAACATCAACAGAAATTTAATTTTGTTTCTTCTTATCAGAGGAGTCTACTACTTTTTTTAAAATAAACAACATTGATATGAAAGCTGCTTTATTATTGCTTCTGTGTTTTCCACGTATTATATCAATATGAAGTACAGACGTTATACATGACCCGATTTGGCGCTTTGTAAAGTCTCCGGGCTAGAAACACTTCTAGCGTTGGCGTTGTTGGTTGGATTAACTGTAAAATTGTATATTAAATTTAGGTGTCAAAGAAAACTTTTAAGTAAAACTGTAAGACTAATCATTAAAAAAATATATTCTATTACCATTAAGTGAAAAAGGCATTCTTCCAATTCCCTGATCTAAGAAATCAGGAACGAAACGACGCAGGAAAGAAAAATTATCAAAGAATGGATCGAAAACTGAAAGAATGTGTTAAAATGAATTACTTAAGTAGGTGTTTATGAATTGATATATACATATTTATTACAATTATGTGGCGAATTACATCTCAAACAGTAATTTTAATGGAGTAATATTTGAAAATGTAAGTACATAGATAACATAGTCGCAGAATTTATAAAATGTTGGCACTAAAAATTCAACAATGAAGAAATTGAAACGTAAAATAAGAAAAGATTAAAGAAAAAAATATCTACAATGTGTCTACAAAATTAAAAGCGATTTTTTTTGTATTTGAAACAAAATTTCATTTCAACTTCATGAATTACTAAATATGTCCTTTTTGTTCTTACCCCTCAGGAAGTAGTAAATATCGTTTTATTCAACTCTGTACACATTTTTAATACGTACAAGTTTAGTTAAGTAATTTTTTCTGACATGGATAAATATCGCACATAACAATATTTAATTTATTTTTATAATAAATATTTTTTCAATTATTTCAAAATAAACTTACAATTAGCGTTAGCCGATACAACAACGAAGGCTAACAAACACGAGACGATTAATACTTTTGAAGTCATTTTAGACCGCTTCTAGTGGAAATGCTTATTTTTATAGCAACGGCCATGTTTATATAAGACACGAACTATGGATATAGATAAATAGAGGTTTTTATGAATAACATAAAAGTTATCGTTACCCGATAATAATACTTTTTAATATTGTAAACCATAAAATGAAAGTGTTTTTAAATATAATTATATAATCTAAACTGCTGTATTATATCACCTACTTCTAAACTAAGGACCAAGATATAAAATAGTCACCATAGAATAATTTTGCTGTGGTATAAGTTATATAAACTTTAATGAATTTTCTTACTTTTTGAGTTGGAATCTTCTAACTAAATTGTATTACGTATATTCATATACCAGTCAATTGGCTGAAAATTTTGTACACAGCATTTTATTCATTCGATTATATATAACATGATGTACCTACTCCACATCAGCCTACATTGTAAGTGCTTGTAAACCTTTTTCGTTACTGCGTTCCCCTAGAACGTCCTAATCAAAAGAACAGACGACACCGCAAATCTCCGCTAAAGCGGTTGTAGTGAAGAAGGCTATTGTAGGGAGTCACGTACAATCTGGACTCTAACTCTTCTTTTGGGTCTGTGCAAAAAGGCCTTTATATCGAACTTATTTTTTTTTACCTTAAGGAACTAATAGATCTATCTTACATGCAGCAACTTTTTGCTACATGCAAGATAATGTCCTAAATGTATTTGATAATTTTCTTCTTTATCGGTAAAAAATTAATAATATTTAATAGTTAAATTAAGAAGTTATATAATAGTAGATTCGGTTTGGAGATTTTCTACAGAAAGAAATGAAAGAAATATCAGTTGTGAAAATTTCCTCTTAATTCGCGTCGCGGGTGTAAGCGAAATAATGTACAGCGGCCAGGCTCGGAGCAGGAGTATGTACGGGGGGTTTTTAGTCAGTAGGAGTCTGACACTCCCTCCTGTCCCACACAGGACACGCGGGTCACTTTGATGATTTTCCCCTTTAATAAAAAAGGGTGTATAATATATAATTCGTAACATTTTATGTTTTATCTTCTATAATACAGATATCTAATCCATTTTACAAATAAATATATGACTACCTGGAATGTGCAGAGTTTTCAATTCTTACCTCTATGAAAATATTTAAATTTCTTCGTTATAAATCATTCTAAGCCACGCTAGTCGCTATGATAATAATTAATAGAAGATTCAGAAGAATTTAATAATGTCAAGCATGTTTTTAAATTGTGTGAAATTCCAACATTTCAGGCGGGTAAGAGAACGTTATTAAAATTTCACTACAATTCCTCGTTTAATTCTTGAATAATAATCATATAGTACCTCAAAATTTGTAGCGATTAAATATCTCAAATAAAATGATTAACACAAAATTTAAAATAACAGTCTTAAACGATTCTTTCCCTTTCCCTTTCTTGGGCCGCGATTGGCTGCACTGGCTTAATTGATATTAGTAATTGAAATAACTGTTAAAAATATTTTAAGAGTAAAACATAAAATAAAGATTTATATACACAAAGTTTTCAAATGATCTTCGATCTTTCAATTCAAGTAATTGTATATCTCAACTATCTATGAGAGGAAAGATATGAAATGTAGTAATGTAACGTTTACGACTCTCTTTGAGGTTTTACCTAGCTTTCCTGGTCTTGGTCCTTTTTAAGGTAGATATGAAATACTCCATACACAAAACATTTATTATTAAAATTTTATATCTTGAATTCGCTTATTATCGTATTGAATGTTATTTTAATGAAATTACTTATGCACTTGAAAGACACGACGAAGAAGGAAAACAAAACAGAGCTATTGTATAGTTTTGACAACAATTTTGGACATCTTTCGGATTATAACAATGACTAGATTTTTTTAATTTCGTTTTGGCTTGTCTTTAACGAGCCAATTATGGGCCTTTGAGGTTTAGAGTAATGTTATATATACTGTTAAGATTACTTGTTATATAAACCTATACTATAAATGATAATTTTATCGTAATGTAACAAGCAAGTAACATTGGTTTATAAAAATATACTGTTAAATAACGGACATTGGCATCACTCAAAAAAATCAAACTAGTGCATTTAGAAAACAAAAATGAAATTATATGCAAGGAATAATAATAATGTAAGGAAAAATAATATAAAACCCGTAGTATCCAAAAAACTGTTTTTCATCTAAATGAATAGACGCAAAAATCTGAGATATTATAAAATAACAATTAATTAAGATTATGTATTCATAGTTAACTTACGAGTAATATATTAGTTAAAAAATATATTTTATGACTTTCATATATCGGTTCTAATTCATACAGTTCACAAATCAACTGATATGTCGTCAACTGATTGACATTAACAAATATATGTAAATATTATGTAAAGAATGTTTAAAAAGGATTTTATTAAAAAATAACATTTTATTATTGAATCTTTATTTATTTGGGGTTACAACTTCAGCTCTCGTAAAGCTTTTGATATTTTGATTTTAGTCATAATATCTGAAAAGAAAATAGCATTTTATTTAAATGTAAATTCCTTAAGTATTTATCTATATTCTTACCCATGGTTATCTCTTGCGTCTTGGGACGTATTAGGATTGGATCCACTTTCAGAATAAGCATTATTCACTGGATTAACTGTAACAAAATAAATATTCACAGTGACGTTTACTCATCATCATTATTAAGAAATGCTACTTGTTAAAGTCCATTAACTTCTTTATCTACACGTGAGGTGTTCTCATAATATAGTAGATGTAGTGTCTTGTCAATTGTAGCCTAGTCACGGCTCTGGTTCAAATGGAGTAAGAAAAATTTATATTTATTTTTATTAATGTAAATTCTTAGGTAATATTACCATTGATAGAAGGTCCGCCCTCAGACCTTATGTCGCCACGTGCTCCTTGACCAGCTCTTCCTGATAATCCATTGTAAGGATTGCGCCCGGGTGGATCTGAAAGGGTTATGTAATGGAATTGTACATAGAAATCGATAAAAATCATTGTAGTTTTAGGAACACCTTGGAAAGCTATTGGCTGGATTCAGGTTGTACAATATTTTTCAAAATAGATTAATGATCAATGTATGGCATGTGACTTTACCACGGTTGGATGTTTAGATTACATACAGTTCTATAAGCAACGACAAAACATAACAATTTTGTACTAAAATTTACTTACAGGTGCAGCTGACAGCCATTACGAAGAAGGCGAACAAAAAGGAAATGGTAAATAGTTTTGAAAACATTTTAGACCAGCCTCAAGTTACTAATGATAACTTTAACCATCTGAATTGTCTTTTATATACAACAAATATGGGGTAAAGCTAAGGTACCTATTTTTAATTATTGTAATCAAAATTGTCGTTACTCACGATAAAAAAAATATGTTTATTGACTTAGTTTTTGTATTTATTTTAAGTAATAAAAATATTTAAATAATAATATATATATATTTTTTATTTTTTTTAGGTTTTGGTTAACATAATATTTTTTCAACATTTTTGATTTCAACATGGTCTTATTGCTGTTATCAAAACTCGCCACCAGAAGCAATTAAACCTGTATAAAAAAATTACTCTCAAAACCAAATACAATGATGATATCTATACTTTTTTCGTGAATAAATTTAAATGAATTAAAGTATAGAATGCTATTCGTTTTCTTATTATTTTGTATCCATAGACCCGGTCTTTCGACTAAATGAAAGTGTCTGATATTTACATCTCTGTCATTAATCACGGTTTTTGTAAAGGAACCAAAATATCAGATTACTTAGTTATAAAATAATAAAAACGCATAGTAACAGAAATACTTTCTTTCCTTTTAACAGACACAGTAAGTACTAGTTCACAGTAAGTATTTAGGAATTTACAAAAAACATTCTTTGGCTTTTTTAAAATATAACGTGTTAGACTGGTTTTTGTTTGTTTTATTAAAAAATGTTATTCGTAGTTGATATCATTTGTTTTTACCAAAGTACAAAAATTGGTAATGATACTTGAAATATTACACTTTATTTTAGTGTTTGGGAAAAATTGCATCTTCAAATGGCTCGCTGCTCTGGGCAGGCTAAGTTTATAAAATCTTTCGATACACTAAAGTGTAAACAAAAAAATCAGAACAAAGTAAAAAGTATTACGATTGACGATATTTTGTTACGATCATAGTTACGATATTCTATAAGAGCATCCATCTATTTTTGTGAGTGACGATTACCGCTACATGCGCGAGCAATTTCTTTTCTTTTGTGATCCTTTGTGATAGTGACGTATGTACTTTCTAAGAGTATTTAGGCGTCACTGATTAATGCATTCCCAAAGAGGGTTGATGTCAGGCAGGCAGCCGGTCGTAAAAACAATTAACCAAAACTATTCACAACATGTAAGGCAGACACTGGCTAACGCTGGGAAATTGCCAGGAAGAAAAGAAGAACGACTGTAGGGATATGGTTGAAAATTGATGGAGAGATCGATTGAAACTAGAATTTAGAATGTTATGAACATAGGATATTTAATTGTGTTCGATTGAAACAGAAAAAATTTAATAAATACCAATACCTGGTTATTTATGGCCTCTAAGACGGAATAGAGTTCGCCCGGTTAGCTATACATATATGTATTACTAATGACGAAATTAACGCGGACAGAGTCGCGGTCAAAAACTAGTTCTTAATATAAACTAATATTATAGATAACATGGCCTATAAGGTTTTGTGAAGGGAAAAACGCTGTTTAAGAAAAAATGTAACATAGTACAAGTAAATTACTTTATATAATTATAGGATTACATACAAATCTTTGAATATATTTATTTTCAAATTTTCCTCTTTGTTGTCCAATAAATTGTGTTAGGTTTGAAATCTAAAATATATAATCATATTTTTTTACACGCTTTTTTAAGCTTCACCTGTATGTTGGTTTGTTGTATGTTTGTAACTTTTTCTCTGTAGCGGGAGTTAATTTTGCATTTCTGATGCCTAAAATAAATAAAAGTGGAAATTTGAAAAATAATTATACTTATAAATTAATAGCAGTCGTATAATGAAGGATGGCTTACAAAAAATAAAACCACATATCTAGCCGAATTGGGAATTAGGAAATAAATAATGTGAAAAAAACACGTTTTAATAAAATACCAAAACTAAAAAGTATTTATAGGTGAGTCATGAAGCCTTTCATCGCGTGTGCTCGTGATTCGATTACTGTAAAGGAACAAAAACGTCAGCAATATTTAGTTTTAAAATATGTAATAGAAATTGAGTTGTATTTCAAAAATTTTGTTTAATTTCAAAGTGCTTTTTTATTTTTTTAGACTAAAAAACTTAAAAGTAAGAAGTCATGAGAGAAATATTATATTATATATATATAAAAACTATATTATATTATATCACTGTAGTAACAGAGCTAGTAAGTACTGATGGGGGCTGATTAATATTGATGATGCAAGAAATTCACAGTGCAGACAGTCCATGACTTTGTTTTAAATAAATTTAATATATTTTGACAACCTAATTTTTACAAATCATATAGTATACTAAATTAATATAAAATAAGTTTTATTCTATTATCAGCTAGGTAAAGGTCGATTAAGGTACGGATATTAAACTCGATATTATTTGAAGGCATTAATATTTATAGATCATAAACAGAAATAAAGAAAAAGATTTAAGATATTTCAGTTTGATTTTCAAAAACTCTATATCTATAGTTACTAGAAAAAAATTTTTTTTTTCAGTAGTTTCATGAAAAAAATTTACATCCCTAGATTTTGATCATAGTTTATTGGCGTATGTTATTTTTACCCTTTCACAAAAAGTATTGTATTGTACTGTTTACAATAAGCATTGCATTCAAACAAGTAGTTAATATGAAAAATTTGTATCGACATATCAGCTTTCTCAAATAGAAGTTCCCTTTTCTGCGGATATAAGTAAAAGAAAGTAAAAATAAAACAAAGAATACTGTTATCAGTTTATTGTAATACAGGTTAATTCCCATACTCTTCTGAATTTGAGCATCTAGTCATAATACCTGAAATTATAAAAGAACTTTACGTATACCACCTAAAATAATATTTTAAGAAGTTAGAAAAAATATTTTTGAATATTTACCCTGGATGGTTACTTCTTGCGTTTTGTGATGTATAAGGGTTAGAACCACTATCTGAATATGCGTTATTGACCGGGTTAACTGTAACAAAATTAGAGTAACAGAGATAAATACTATTAAAATTATATATACTATGTGTTGAATAAATTAATAGGTATGTATGTAATATTTTTTTACTCTTAGGCAAAAATAATCTTAATTGTAGTTATCGTTAAAATAGAAATAGTAAAAAAAACTCTACTAGAAATAATATGTATCTTTTGACAGAAAAGGGACATAATATCTTTTATTATTATAAAAGTTTATGAAATATTACCATTTATGGATGGCCCACCATCAGACTGTATCTCACCACGGGTACCTTGACCAGCTCTTCCCATGAGACCATTGTACTCTCTGGGATCTGAAAAAGATATTATTTAAAATAAATTGCTGTAATCTTTAAAATGTTACCAGTTCATTGCATTGTGCTCTATATAAACTGAATGATTTTTTTTTGGGAGGTCCGTCCTTGCTGTTTGCCTATTTAGGACTGTTGCTAGGTTCAATTATTATAGGTATTGGTAGGTGTTTGTGGGATTGGTACATAGTTTGTGATTATTAATAAATTATTTGAATAAAAATAATCTTACTAATTACAACATTTTAAGCAGAAAACAAAACAAATAGAATATATGAGTAATATTTAAATAGATCTGCGGCTATTGTTTCAAAACTTTACTTACAAGTACAGTTGACAGCCATCACGAGGAAGGCGAACAAAAAGGAAGTGGCGAATAGTTTTGAGAACATTTTAGACAAGATTCCAGTTCACAATTATGAATGCTACTCCCTGAACTGCCTTTTATATAAAATAGATATAAAGCAGAATTGTTATATAATTTATTATTGTAATCAAAAAAGTCGTTACTCACGATACGAATAATTTTCACTTTAAAAATATATTAGTTATAAGCATATGTTGCACATGAAACGGTTGGGTAAAAATATTTTATTTGCTATAAATAAAATAGGTAATAAATGCCTATATACTTTTTATAGTTACAATGTAATATATAATATTACAGTTTAAACTAGGATTAATAATTATACAAGGGATTTATAATCTCCTGTAAAAACCAGTTTTTTATTTTTATTTTAAAGCTTTTGTCACAGTATTATTTTTGATAATAAAATATCATTCCCAAAAAAGTGATTTCGTTCGTTGTCATAGCTAAAAAACAAACTTCTAAGAAAATAGTACTGTTCAGCAAAATATAACTTTATCGTTCGAAATTATATGATAAGAAGATTTAGTATGTATGTATATACATATTAGCAATATACTAAATCTTGTTATCATATAGTTTCAAACAGATTTTAAAATTAAAAGACGTGATATTCTAATATAGAATAAGTGGGCTTTCCAACCTTTTCAAAAAGAAGAAGGCAGTTTATTGTGTAAGGATAACTTCACATATTTACACATTTTCGAATTTTTATGAAGTCCTTAGTCCTCAGATTTCAAATGGGCTAAATGGTTAAATTGGGTTATTTGAGTTTTGTAATTAACCGGAATTTATCAATAAGATGAAATATATATATATATATATATATATATATATATATATATATTTATATATGTATATATGCGTTATTTAATTATGTACAATTACTTACATACAATAAAAATTCTAATAGAAAACTGAAAGAGAATATAGATTCTATATATAGAATAGTATATCGCCATGTTCAGAATTTTCTCCTGTGTTTTGTGGAATGTTACATTCCTTTCTGAAAGATTTTGCTAGTATTTTAACTAGAACTTGAGCCCTAAGGAATGTTAAGAGAAAGTAAAACAAGTAAAATTATGTACGGTTTTTTCGGTAACATTATGTACGGTTTTTTTTTTAGACTTAGTAAGGCTTAACTTCAGTTCTCGATCGTCATGGTTGAATGCACAAACGACTCCGTGGCGCTCTGTTAGTCGATGAGAGAAACCGTTGGGACTTAGTGCACCGTCCAGGGTCAATCACGCGGAGTCCCACGGACCCCTCTGATTCACACCTTGGTTAGGAGGAAAGTGATAAACAGTTTCTCAAAGGAAAATAAGGGGGTTACCGGAAAAGCTTTACTGAGGAGACTGTAGGCTGGAGACTGTATAAATATTTAATTCGTTTTCAAAATTAAGTTTTATCGGTAATTGTTAAAAAAATATTTTGATTAAATTAATATTTCTATGAAAGTTATCGTACTTTAAACAATCAATATAATATGCTATATATTCCTGTTAAAAATATATGCTATATATTCCTGTTTTAAAAAATTTAAAGGTACGTTCATAGGGGACTATTATATTTTTTTTTAATTAAGAATTAAATATTGATTAATCAAACATTCGCGTCGTAGCAGTAGTTTAAAGCATTTGCCTCTTAAAATTATTATTAACTTTAATCGAGTTCCAATCGTACAGCCAACCATCTGTAAATTGCTATAACATAATATGATGAAAGAATTCAAAGTGCATCAATTTCTTTTCAAGTATATTATCACCTAAAACCCTAATGAAGATATTCTTGTTATAATTAAAGTATTAAATTACTAATTTAAGTATCACCTTTTATATTAGTTTCTTCAAGCAATGAACAAGAAATAAAAATTATTTTAATTTTTTGTGTATGTTTGCTTTTTTCATATTATTTCATGTTTTAGTAGAACGCCAAAGTATCAAAACGATTAAATAATTGACTGTCACTCGCCATTTATTGATATTTTAAGGGAGATATTAGTACTGGAATTGGCTTTTCCAAAAATTGGGTTAGTACTCCATGTACGGTAGATTTTGTGTTTGATGAAGTTTCTACTTTGTAAGGTGAAGGGAAGTGCTGTCTTGCTCCTTTGGGCACACTAAAATCGTACGAATTTATCCTTACATTACCTAATGGTTGTGGAAACATATAGCTTGAAGCGTCGATAATAATAATTCCAATAATGACAAGGATGGAAGTGTTCTAAATGAAAAGAACATGTAAATCTGATACAATTATACCAATTCAATGATATTTTATGTTTTACTTTGTAACGACTGTTAAGTTAACACTTTTTATAAATCCAAGTATTACATATGTAGTACGAAGCTAGTGATATTATTTTATGTTATGGCAATGAAATCAGAACGGGTACAAGGAGGAATTAGGATATAAACACATACAAATATTGTTATCCGTTTATTGTATTCACATTTAGCTCTTTAATAGGAGGCTGATTCCTGGTGGAGTTTTAATACCTGAAATTTTTTGAATTTTGGTTTATCAATTTGATATTTTTCCAAATATTTTTTTTTTTAAATAACTAATAAATATTTACCCATGATTACTTGTTGCATCCTGGGATGCAAAAGGATTAGCTCCACTATCTGAATTTGCGTTATTGACAGGATTAACTGTGAAAATGTAAAAATTTATAAGTATTTCTCGTAGTTTTACTAAATCAGACATATTTTAATAAGGAAGGTGGAAAAGTTTGTCATTTTTGTATTACAATCAAAAAGCAGCATTACGATTTTGTTAATAAAATTATTATAACATTTCAATTACAAGTAATCTATAGATTCACATAAAAATAAAAGATAGATCCTTTCATTATTATTAAATTTTACGTAATATTACTATTTATGGAGGGTCCTCCTTCTGCTTCTATGTCTCCACGTGCATCTTGGCCAGCTCTTCCCCTTAAGCTATTGCTGGGAGGAGCTGTAAGAAATTTTGTATGTAAGGCAACTTATTTTCAAATGTATCACATATATTCTTATTTTTTTCCTACAAAGATAAGCTTAATTCTAAAGTTTTTTTCCCTCACTATTGATATAGAGGGGTGTCAAAAATAAATAACAATTTCGTCTTTCTAAGCACCTTATCACGACAAATATCAGTACTCTTAAATAAAAACATTTAAAAAAATTACTTACAAGTGCAGTTGACAGCCATCACGAAGAAGGCGAACAAAAAGGAAATAGTGAATAGTTTTGAGAACATTTTAGACAAGTTTCCAGCTCACAATGATTTCCAGTTCCCTGAACTGCCTTTTATATGGAATAGATATAAAGTAGAATTATTGTATATTTTATTATTGTAATGAAAATTATCGTTACTCACGTTAAAAAATTATTAAATTATTTTATTTCCAATATTCAATTTTCAAATTATTTTTTGTTTTAAAACTATAAAAATCTTTTCAGTGGTGAATAAAGTTTCCTATTTTTCCTTTTGAATTCGTATTTTGTTGTAATTAAAACAAGTTTTTGTATAATATCCTGATTTAGTATGTGCAAGTTTATATACTTGTTTAAATACTTTTTCTATATTTAGGAAAGTAGAAAAATACACATAAGTGGTACTTACGCATTTTATCCTCAACACTTTGTATCCTTCTGGAAATATTGCTGCTGCATATTGATGCATAAATTAACAGATGTTGTAGAAGTTCTTGTATGAACGATTAATATGGCAAATACAAGAACTTAATATCGGAAGTATCTTAAAACAAATAACTTTTAGCAAAGCTTGCTTATTTCGACCGTGTTTTTTGCAAGAAATTTATTAATAAAGAATTGAAGTATTAATTTTAAACGATTGAAAATATAAGTATTAGTTTAAAATGTAATTGAATTTTAAAACTGGTACTCCTTTTCTTTGGTTACTTAAGAATAAAATGTATGTTACGATATTTGTTCAAGTAATTTTGGGAATGAGTTATAGGATACGGTTAATTTTCTTTTTAATTATATTCTCTTTAACCTTAAGAAAATTGTGAAATGAAATTAATGTTAAACATTTAGAATTTACCCATTTAAATTGTGTTCATTTGTAATACTGAATATATTTGAATTACCTTTGACGATAAAATTTTTTAAAAGAAAACTAAAAATTTGAGAAGAAACAAAATACCAATCTGTGTTTACACAGTTTCCTCAGGGATTATCTCATTTATCAAGAATAAATAATTAAACGAAATCATTTTTGTAGCTTTTGTTAAAAGTTGAAGTAATATCCATAATTTATAAAAAAAAAATAGTCATGTATATAATACTTCAAATAGAATGTGAATTATTCAGTTATAAGATTTAAGAGATACTGCGAAGTTTTCAAAATAAAAATAGTAGAAAATAAAAAAAGGTATGTAAGATTTTTCGCAAATAAAAAAAACTTAGTTTTTTGAATTTTGGAGAGATTAAGAAGGAGAGAAAAACACACTTTACACTTTCCAAAAACTATGGCAAGACTTAATTTAACTCAATACATAATTATTAAGTAACTCTTACCGTATACGAAGAAATTACCTAAATTTCCTTATTTTACGGTATGTGTATCACTTTTACTGAGGTAAAAGAAATAATGAATGAACTGGTTATCTTTCATATTTTTTTTATCCGGGTACTTTATAATTATGATCTTTAATTCTTGTTTTTTGTTTAATCAGACTGAATATTAGTTGTAAACATATGTATGTGCCACATATAATTGATAGGTGGAAATAACTTCGAATATGTTGAACGTGCTATCTCGACGACGCGACGGCCTGTTTATTCAAGCTAGTATTGAAGTCACCTAAATTATAATAAGAAGGAAAGACAGTTGCATACAAATTGTTCTTAAGATATTTCATAGTCCAAGGAAGTTCATTAATGGCGGAGTGGAGATCCGCCTTGCTTATCCGATGGTAAAAGAGGATGCGGGAATTATACTAATAATCCCGATGTCATCTTTCATATGTGTAATCAATAACAAGCTGTAACATGAGATCCTTTAATTGAGGCAAACACTTTTTAGTTTACCACTGTTAAACTGAGTTTATCATTGACTCAGATTTCATATTAAATACATGAAGAAATAATAGGAAGGGAAATAAAAATTGTTAAAGATCAATGTTTTTCATTCCTTTATTATCTGAATAAAATTTATTAAATCACTGTTAGAAAAATATATATTTTGTGTCCATTACTTTAGGACGTTGACTTACATGTGAATATTTTATTCATACAATTTTGTAACAATTAAAACAGCAAATAGAATACATATGTATTTGATTTAGAAAATGTTTATTTGTGGTTTGCCTCGGCTTTTTGTCTGGTATAAGGATTAGAACCGGATTTTGATTCCGCGTTGTTGACAGGTTGTACTGGGGAAATAAAAGTGTTTTTCCTTAATATTTTTTAAAAAGGTGACTATTTTAACATCACTATCATAATTTTATTTAGTTTGTGACGAACATGATATTTTCTCTAAAATTATTATTATTTCTATATTGATCTTAAAATAACCAATTTTGCCCTTTACAAGATTAAAAACAAAAACACCCAGATTATACTGAATAGAAGAGATAAATAAAAACTGTTATTCTATTACGTATGTTCACATATTAGCAGTATTGTTACAATTAATTTGATTTGCTTACCATTAATAGAGCCTTGTCTGGATGGATATCTGTCAGGTCCTCTATACCCGCGGCCGTTCTGTCCCAAAACGAAGTTTGCAATGTCGAATGGATTAAAACTATTCAGATCTGTGAAAAAAAATCATTGATCCTTTCAATTAATAAGAGCTATCATTCTTAATATAAAGCCTTATCATAATTTTTCGTTACTTTCTTTATACATTTTTAGTTACCATAATAAACTCTTAAACATCTTACTAATGCTCAGGAATGTATTATGTATATTAATTATGTGTAAAGTCAAATACAATCTCCAAATTCTATTGTTTGTTTATAATTTGTTTGTGATATATGAAGACCATATTTTTAATTTTTTTTGCTTTCGAAACCCTTTAAATTGATTTATGATAATTTGATTTTTCATGATATACTTGGGAAATTTAAATTTAAAATAAATTAAAATTAATAAAAGGACCTTACATGGTATTCCTCCGTCCGATCCTTGTCCATCTCCCAAAAAACTATTAATTGCGTCGAAAGGATCAAAGGGAACTAAAACAAATGTACTATGTTAATATGAAAATAATGTTTTTAATTTAATTAGAGAGATTTATAATAATGTGTTTAAGTTTATAAAATTTATTTTTTTGTTTAAATACACTAAAATTAATATGTTACATTTGTATTAAAATATAAGTAGCAAAACTTGACTTACGGAAGGAGGCATCAGTAGACGCCATGAAGAAGACTATCAAGAAAGACGTGGTAAATATTTTGTGGTACATTTTTAGATAGCTTGCAATGTAGACTGATGATTAATAACTGGGTGCAATTTATTTTATTTAAAAACAAATAAGGTAAATATTGTATATTTTTATCATAATCATAAAAAAATTTCGTTACTCACGATGTACATTAAACAAGTATAAATATTTATGTCATAAAAATGTTCTTTATTATAATCACCTTAACGAAATTCTTTATGACTTTCTCTACTTATTGAAATATTACAAATTATTTTATGTTTTTAGAACCTTTATATAAACCACCTTGGAGTTCGCACAATTTTTATTTTGGAGTTCTGTAGGGTTTTAAACCACCTGTATTAATAATCATATCTAAGACTTTCACGAGTTTTATTCATTTAAATGAAACCAATATTTTTCGAATATACTACGCGTGCTTTATTTTTTCAAAAAACTACATACTTTCCAACCAACGTTTCAGCTACTTTTCAGCAGCCATGATCACGGTCAAACTAGATGTGACTGTCTGTCAGTTGGTCTTGTTATTTATCATCTACCACGATTCATTTCTTATTTTTCTGGTGTACCGCTCTGAATGCCGTTAGAATGCGCTTACGGTGTCCCGAGGTCCTGCGGTGTGGTCAGTCCCAGGTGTTTGACAGATTCCAATCATCTTCTCAAGTACAAGTGAAATTGCATTTTTTTCTATTGAAAATAAGGAATGCTTCCTACTTTTTTATTCTTCAAAATTGATTATGTGCTATTATAATTAGCTTAACAAAATTGTATGAATGAAAAAGCAATTAAACCTTACGATATTATTTATATGTTCGCCGTTAGACTGTCAAGTATAGAATTGCTGGAATTTTTTCATCCAATCAACCAAAATTTGTCAGAATCAATTACATTAAGGCATTGATAAATGGTTTAAATATATTTTTGTTTGGGGAAAAATATGTTAAATTGCTATGATTCTTGTTTTAACAGGCATTATCTTATTAAAAAGGGTCACTTCCGTTAACTTCATATTCTACACTACTTAAACGCACTTAGTTCAAGTACTCTTGGTACGAGATAACATAACAGTTTTTTAACTATTTTCACTTATATATATTTTAAGATAAAAAATGTTGTCAATGGAACTGTAACTAAATTAAAAAAAACGGACCATTGGATATAATAACATGACATTTATTCTATTCCAGTTTTTTGTAAAACATCTTGTCGAGTTCCTAAACTAACGAAATGGTATTGAATGTTGATATACTAAATCAATTAGTGGTCTTCGGTGCAGAGCTGCATAAAGTCTGCAAAGACCCCATTTAAAAATCACATGCTTAGGCACTCGGAACTAACAGTGTGAAAAGTCACGTCAAGGTAATCGTCGATAGAAAAAAGGAGGGTGGGACAGAATGAACAATTCCTTGCCATGTGGGCCTTCAGATAGGTATTGTATAAGTTGCTTTAAAATAGTTCTATGAAAACCCATCTCATAATGTGCTATTATAAAATAGTTTGTAAGAAATGCAAGTTTAAGATTTATGTAGCAAAATGTTTTCTATTTTTATGTGGATATATATGTATTATATCCTGATATATGTGCATTATATCCTTTGACTTATTATAAAAGCATTAAATAATAAACAGTATATATAATTCAACAACTTTATTACTTTATCTTCTGAATACTTTTAAAAGTATTCATATAACCTGAAAAGATATGCATATAAATACAATAAAGAAGAAAAACAAAATGCTTAAATTAACAATGACAAATGTGAAACATATTTTCGTTAGGCTGTTATATTATATATACACATATACATTGTATACTTGGATCTATACCATTAAAAAAGAAAATTACTTATTGGTGGTTTGCTTCTGCGTTTTGATATTCGCTTGGATTAGCATTGCTTCTTGAATTCGCGTTGTTCACTGGATTTACTGTAAAAGAAAAATGATGGTCAGTCTCACTGCATAGAACAAAGCAATATATTCGGAATACAAGTTTATTGAGTTGAAAAAGTCTCTATTCTATGTAGATTATGTATCTATGTATGTAAATCAGTATGAGGCAATCAATTAAGATTTATATGAAACAAATCTAAATTTGAAAAGAATGTAATGGAAATTATATTGAAAATATGAAAGTATTACCATTAATAGAGGGACCACCGCTGGACCTCAACCGTCCTAGTCCTCTGCTTCCTCCATATAAATAGTCATCATCGTATGGGTTATAACCGAAAGCTGGAAAAAATGGCTTATAATATTAATGATATTTAATAAAATCAATTACTATGTATTTTAATAAGGCAGGGACAGTTTTTTATAATAATGACAAAAATAAAATCTCAAAGCTTTGTCTTAAACAACGAATTTCAGAAGAAATTTAATTTTCGAAGAATTAAATTAAATTTTGAGTATAATTTATATTAAAGTTTTACTTACTGGCGTTAGCTGCCATCACGAAGATGCCTAACAAGAAGAAAACAGCAAAAAGTTTTGAATACATTGTAGGGTAATTTTCAGTTCACTCTGATGATAACTGTTCCGGAGTCCTATTTTATATTAGCTCCAAGATTATATTAATTTAAAAAAGTCGTTACTCACGACAATATTTTATAGTTTAAAATATACCCTTTATTTTCATAACATCTCAACATTAATTCATAATAGGTACATAAAAATATACATTTTCATGATAATGAACAATTTTAGTAAACAACAAATTAAGTTTATAAATTATTGTTTCTGAAAAAAACTTGTATGTTTGTATGTTTTAAATCCATCTTCTTTAGTGTGAATAGAAATGAATAGAATTTTTTTAGTAGCGAAGCACATTGAAGAGAATTTACGTTTCAGGTAGGGACGTCAAATTTCTTCTTTGTGAGCGTAGCCTCGAGTTAATTTGCTATAGGTCTACGAATATTTACAGTTTAAATAAACCTAGATATTTTTTCCTTGAAAAAAAAAGATAAAAGGCCATTTTTTAATTTATCAGAATTGAAATATAATTAACAAAAGGACAAAAATTCTTGTTTGAAAAAATCTGACTACTAAATAATATGAGATATACTTTATCTATATTTCAACTGTAATTATTTTAACTGTTCATACGTTCAATATTAAAAAAAAATAATTGTGTAATACAAGGCCTTATAGACCAGTGCCGATAGCTTTTAAAACATAATTAAATTTATTTTTAATAGTTGTGTACTCTGGAAATTCTCTAGATAGTCTCTCTTTTAGGTAATTTACAGAAAATTGACGTTCAGCTGCTAAAACTTTTAAAAATAAATTGAAAGAGCATTTTCCAAACGATATCGATCGTCATTTCATTAAAAGGGACATGATTATTTTATCTAAAAGTGGTACTGCAAGTAAGAAATGTATATTTTTTTCTTCACCATTAGAAAATAGAGATTTCAACAAATTGAAAACATACCAAAGTTTTGAAAATAGCTGATATTTTGATGGGTGATTTTTCGATTGAAAATGAGGCTGATTTTTCGGCATTTATTTAAAATAAGCTGAAAAAATAAATATATCTAATCAAATAAATTACAAAGCATTTGTAACATCAAAAGAAAAGTTTCACCAAATTTCGTGCCAAAAAATTGTTTTTTGTAAGAGATAAAAATAAAAAACCAAAAACTTGGTTTTTCGAATTTATCACATAAATTTTCAGGTTATGTGAAAAAAGTGTAAATACAAGAGTTTTAGATCTTTTTATTACCCACAACTTTGCAATATATCATTTTTCATTAGGACTGTTAGTTTTTACGGAAATCGAGAAAACCCATTTTTTACCCTTAAATACCCACACCCGTACCCTTCCCGACCTCAGATCGCCCGTAAATTATTTTTTCCCTTAATTTTTATAATATTAACCTCCTTTTCTAATGGTTTTCATTCTACTATAATTTATTTTCACTTTTCATTATTTTTAGAGGCATCTGCACTGGCCTATTAGTTATTATCATTTTCCGGTATTTTTTTTCTTTAGGTTTGAGCCGTTTTTAACCATACTTATGGTCCGAAACCAAGTAAATATGGCATGTAGTGTGTTAATTATATGTGTATGTTGTCTGAGAGGATGTCATTTTGTTTTCTTCTATTTGCATGAATTCTCTTACTATTACAAGTGTTCAGGATAACAGTTTTTGTAGGGTATTGCAGGTTGTGTCTTTTAGGTTCAATAGTTTAAATCTAGGGGGTGGGTGTCGGTATGACCTGTAGTGGTTAACACTATGAGTAGTACAAATACTTTATTGTTATTTATATAACAATTAATATTGTCATAACTACATTTTTTTTCAGTTTTGGTCACCTAAATTGAACGTAAACAACAATAACTACTCAATCATCTGCAGCTTTCATAGAATAATTTATATTTACTTTAAAGAAAAGATTATTGTGTTTGAGAAGGTTTTTTTAAAGTATTCAAATATTTCATTAATAATATTTATGAAATATTTTTTTCAATAGGAAGGAGGTCTAGTTAAAATCTAAATACTCCTGAAACCTAAGCTTCTTCTACGTATTTTATTTCTGCAACAACAAAACAACGGGAAAATAATGCAAATAACGTATAATTAATTATTATTATTAATTTATTTAATTGTTTGAATCGAATGCCAAATATATAGTAATTAGCACTTAAATAATATAAGGTGAAAAGTGGCATAATATGAAATAATAATATATTTCTATTGATTTAATAATAAAAACATGTAAATTATATGGTATGTGTTTTGAATCAAATTATTATTTTCTTATCTTCTTTAACATGCACTTTTGGTGAAATTACTGTGGAAGAATAATAAATAATTACTTACAAAACTATGTGAATGTCAAATAAAAAAATATATAATGAAGTAAACCTAGAATATAAAATAAATAAGTTCACAAAATTTAGTTACGTGCGGTGGTAGTAAGACATTTTCTCATATGAGTTATAATAAATGTAAAATGACCATAAAATGGGCCTGGTTAGTGTATTATGAGTAACCAATTTGTAAATTTTGATGATATCGGTGGTTTTAATGCGTGTTATTTTACCTCAACGATAGACGAGTCCAATCCCGAGATGAAATCATCAACGCCATCAGGGATATCAAAACCTGGAAAAAAACATTTGACTATTAATAAATATAAAATAGGAGTAAAAATTTATATAAATATAATGCCCTTGCTAGAAATTGTACGCTCTTCATATTTGCTTTTGATTCTCATAATTAAAATATTTTTTCTCATAAATTGTGACATAGTCCATTGCCTACATATATTTGTATGCTGTTATATAAAAATATTCTATCATTGAAGGTTGAGTTTGCTATAGACATATATTGGGTTATCCTTGGTTGGGTTGTCCTAAATTTCTATTATTATAATTTAAAAAAAACAATTATTGTTCGAAGACTTCAGGAAATTTTCTAAAACTGCTTACTATTGGCGTAAGTTGTTAAAAAGAAAAATATTAACAAAAAGACGATGGTGTACTTTTTAGAAAACATTTTGTTGTAATTAATAATAGAGACTACCGGATAGCACATATCATTTGTTTTATACGTTCTATTTCATATTTAATACATGGTTATTATTGGTTTATGTTAACTAATAAAATTACTGATAATATAAAAGTTATGTTGTCATTAAGACAGTAACATTAGACAGTAATTTTATTACTTCCATTTTACCTTCAGATTCGCTTCTTAAAGGAAAGAAAATGTGATAAAACAGAACCGCAACTTCTATTTCATATAATTTAAAATTAATAAAAAATAATAAAAGTCAAACGTAGGCTATAAAATGTTTAAAAAAAATTATTCGTGTTTTTTTTATAATGATAATTTATTTTAAGAAAATTTTATAACATTGTGTTCAAATTCATATTAATTTAAGAAATTCTGTTAAGAAATATCTACATTTCTGTATCTATGCAATTCATGAAAGTTCCTTAAGAAATTTGAGGGTTATCATTTTCAGTTTAAACCTACACTTTTTTTTGAAACATGAAAATTTTAAACCAATACCCCAAAAAAATCCTATCTACTTTGTGAAATATGTAATCTACTTACATAATATCTTTTATTTTTAATATATTACAATGGTTATAAAAATATTTGGAAATATGAAGATTTCCAAGGAGTTATAATTATTCAATTCATTGTTATGTAAAATATTTAATAGAGTTTATTTGAATTTTCAGTTAGATAATTATTATATCGATTTTAGCAATGACTCACACCAGAAAAACACAAATATAGTTATTGCAATAAAAATTGATACGGTTGCTTTTCTTCAATCGTTATAACGTCGACAACTTGATTGACAAAATAAATTTACTAAGACATTCAATTTTATATATAAAAATAGATTGATCTATAATTAATTAGCGTATTTTTTTGAAAAAGCAAAGCCATAAAAATATTTGCTTACTTCATTTCTATATTTTTATATATATCTTTGTGATTCAAAAAAAAATATTCTATAGGTATATTATTACATAAAAGTTGGTATAAAACTTTTCAAAATAAAAAGTGCAGTGGCTAAAAAATAATTGTATCTGAAAAATATTAATAAGCAATTTAAATTGCAAGTTTTTTTTAATAATCTACAATGATAGACAAATAGCTAAAAAAGGTAATTCTGATTGATTAAGCGTTTGGATTTGGAAATGGATTGAATTTGTTTCTTGGAACCTCGATCTTAACAGGATTTACTGTGTGAGATATAGCGAAGGATACTATTTTTCTTTAAGATATACTAGAAATAATAAAAATTTGATTGATTATTACAGATATTGCTGTAATATTAATGTATAGACATGAGTTACGCTTTATATGTATACTAGAAGACCTGGCGAACTTCGTATCGCCCTATAATCAAGAAATATCTATTACGTTTTTTTATTTATATTTTTGGAGTTTATCTGTGAGCCATAAATCTCCGTGTTTTGAAGTGCGACAGAATGATTGACATATAAGTTAGTTGTCAAATCTAATGTCAAAAAAAAACGTTTGTATGGGAAATAGAAAAGGGCTGTTTTTATGGTTTTCCCAGTAATGAAACATTTTTTTTCAGCTTTTATACCTTCCCTGAACCTCCACAAACATTTCAAGACTGAGATAAGATAAATCCGTTCAGCTGTTCTCGAGTTTTAGCGAGACTAAGGAACAGCAATCCATTTTTATATATATAGAAGATATTCAATATTACTGTAATGTGATATGAAGAAACTACATAATGTACTAAATTATTCTGTCTAAATAGAAGTGTGGATCAAAAGCGTAAGCTGTAAAAAGTATTTTTTTACAATTACAATATAATTTGTTAAGTTCATGAAAGATTAAATAAATTTATTATTTAGATAAATATTTTTGAGAGATTCCGACAAAGAAGGAAATTAAGATAGTATAATAGTTTTTTACATGATAATGCAATGTTAATTAAACTAAGGGGAATACGAGGGTCAAACTGAAAGTTCTTAGAAAATCAAAAACTGATTACATTAGCCAGTTATTACTTTTATTATATCTTTTCAAAATATTGTCCATTAACATCAATACACCGCTGCATGCGATGGAACCACTGAGAAAAGCACTTTGCCCACTCGTCCTTAGGGGTATCTTCAATGGCATCGCGATAAGCAGCCACCGCTTCTTCAGCATTCATAAACCGCTTTCCTTTAAGTGTTTCTTTAATTTTTGGAAATAAATAAAAATCACAAGGCGCGAGGTCGGGGCTATACGGTGGGTGACCCAGTAATTCAACGTTTGATGTCGCCAAATAGTCGATCGTTCGCTTGGCGGTGTGCGACGAGGCGTTGTCGTGGTGAAGGAGGATCCTAGTGCGAGGTCGTTTCTCTCGAACTTTTTCCAAGACAAGCGGCAAACAATTGGTAGTGTACCATTCTGCAGAAACTGTTTTTTGATTCTCTAACACAATTGTTGCGAAATGACCTATCCTTCCAAAGAACGAGCCCACCATTTTTTTTTTCCGCACTTCGATCTCTCTTCACTTTAGTTGGCAACTCCTCGAAAGGACACACCCACTGAGCAGATTGTCTTTGGTTTCAGGATCATAACAGTAAATCCAGCTTTGGTCACCTGTTAGTATGTCGAATACAGCATTTGAGTCAACTCCATTAAATCTTTCAATCATTTTATGGCACCAATCCACACGATGGAGTTTTTGAGCTTCAGTCAAATTATGAGGTATCCACCGAGCGCAAAGCTTCTTGACCGCTAAATGTTCGTGGAGGATTTTGTGCACTTGACTCATACCGATGCCTAAACTTGTCCGAATCTGGTGATAGGTCACTCTTTTGTAAGTCTGTATCATACGCTGCACAACACAGATGTTATCTTCAGTCGTCGCCGTAGAAGGCCGTCCCTCACGTAAATCATCATTGAGATTAGTGCGACCACGTTTAAACTCATTAAACCAGTTGTAAACAGTCTCACGAGATGGGGCCTCATCGTGAAAGGCCAATCGTAGTCTATCATAACTTTCTTGTTGACTTAAATGACATCTAAAGTCATAAAAAATCATTGCACGAAAATTTTCTCGTGTTAAATTCATGTTGACGTGACACAGGCAATTTTCAATTTGTCGCCAAATCGTAAAACAAATGACATATATATGAAATATATACTCAGTAATATTGGCAAAGAGTTATATTTTCAAATTTTAGAATTATTTTTTTATTATATTGTTTATAAGTGGCCAGTTCTAAGAATTTTCAGTTTGACCCTCGTATACATTGGTAAGTTTATTGAAAATCTTATAAATATATAGGTAAGTATCGATTCTCCTGTGACTAAAATAATATTTGAGATTTTTTTTATCACATAGGATCTAAAGGGGAGTTGTTGAAATGTGGAACCAATTTACTACAAAAAAGGCTGTTGTATATAGCATTATTGTTTTTGTTATTTTTCTTCAATAAATTAATTTTACATAAACCCAAGTCCCAAAATTACTTGCGAAACATTGAAAAGAAATCACATGTAATTTTTTTTGGTCCACAATGATTCCTTCTCTAAATAAACTACATAAATAAATGTTTATCTAATAAAAGTGTCTGATAAGAAGCAAGGCTAAGATGTTTAATTTGGGTCCATGTCTTTACAGTAAATAAATTTTTAATAATATTCTAGCTACATATTATTTATCTGATAACAGCAAATAAATCTCCAAATTAATAGTTACATTTTTTATTACAAATGACTTTTAATATACATACATACGTACATACGTCGAAAGTCTCGAAACGGTATAAATATACATATTTAAAAAAGCTAAATTATTTCCAGTTATAGCTTAAATTTAATCTATGAATTCTATGAATTTTTGTTTGGAACAGATATTATAAATAAAACGACATTTCTACATGCTTGGTGATATATATTTGGATAAAAGTCTCATAAAAATTTATGATTTATACACCAGAGTCCATAGACAATGCGGAGTTTGTAAGTAAGATAGAAATCTGCCACTTGTTATGTTAGCCTGGAAAATGAAATATACGTGTAAAACAGAGATTGGTTAACCTTATTAATTAATATATTTAACTAAAAGAAAATTCTTACTTCTAGGATGACAAGGGCAAAGGCGAGGCCTGGAGCGGTATTCTGAATGTTTAACGTGATGACGTTCTCGTACTAAAACAAGAATATTTGGAGCAAGTAAGGACATGAATTAAATGTGAAAAAAAATGTTTTACAATAATCTACATAACAAAAAAAAATAATATTTTGCAATGTTTTACAGTTGTAAAATTATGTAATTTATCAACTTACCATTTTCATCAATTTCTCTAACTTTAATTTCGGGAATATAAACATATCGATCCTTTCTTCCTTTTCTTGAATGAGGAAGTCTATAAATAATAACCGGCTTACATTCTTTGGGATTCGAATTGTTTGAATTATTTTCGTCATTTCTTGTTTTAGGAGATTCCGAACTGGAATTTCCAGGTTGTCCACTAGATGGGTTTGAGTCACCTGGAATCTGGCTTGGTTGTTGACCAGATGGGTTCGAGCTGCTTGGTGCCTGTTCTTGTTGTTTACCAGATGGGTTTGATCCACTAGGAGACTTGCCAGGTTGTTCACTGGATGGGTTGGATCCACTAGGTGACTTGCTAGGTTGTTCGCTGGATGGGTTGGATCCACTAGGTGACTTGCTAGGTTGTTCTCCTGATGGATTTGATCCTCCCGGAGATTGTCCTGGTTGTTCTGACGGGTTTGAGCCACTGGGTGACTTGCCAGGTTGTTCGCTGGATGGGTTGGATCCACTAGGTGTCTTGCTAGGTTGTTCTCCTGATGGATTTGATCCTCCCGGAGATTGTCCTGGTTGTTCTGACGGGTTTGACCCACTGGGAGTCTTGCCAGGTTGTTCCCCTGATGGATTGGAGCCTCCCGGAGATTGTCCTGGTTGTCCTGATGGGTTGGAGCCGCTGGTAGACTTGCCAGGTTGTTCGCTGGATGGGTTTGATCCACTAGGAGACTTGCCAGGTTGTTCACTGGATGGGTTGGATCCACTAGGTGACTTGCTAGATTGTTCTCCTGATGGATTTGATCCTCCCGGAGATTGGCCTGGTTGTTCTGACGGGTTTGAGCCACTGGGAGTCTTGCCAGGTTGTTCCCCTGATGGATTGGATCCTCCCGGAGATTGTCCTGGTTGTCCTGATGGGTTGGAGCCGCTGGGTGACTTGCCAGGTTGTTCTCCTGATGGGTTGGATCCTCCCGGAGATTGGCCTGGTTGTCCTGATGGGTTGGAGCCGCTGGGTGACTTGCCAGGTTGTGCGCTGGATGGGTTGGATCCTCCCGGAGATTGGCCTGGTTGTCCTGATGGGTTGGAGCCGCTGGGTGACTTGCCAGGTTGTTCACTGGATGGGTTGGATCCACTAGGTGACTTGCCAGGTTGTTCCCCTGATGGATTGGATTCTCCCGGAGATTGTCCTGGTTGTTCTGACGGGTTTGAGCCACTGGGAGACTTGCCAGGTTGTTCGCTGGATGGGTTGGATCCTCCCGGAGATTTGCCTGGTTGTCCTGATGGGTTGGAGCCGCTGGGTGACTTGCCAGGTTGTTCGCTGGATGGGTTGGAACCACTAGGTGACTTGCCAGGTTGTTCACTGGATGGGTTTGATCCACTAGGTGACTTGCTAGGTTGTTCTCCTGATGGATTTGATCCTCCCGGATATTGTCCTGGTTGTTCTGACGGGTTTGAGCCACTGGGATTCTTGCCAGGTTGTTCCCCTGATGGATTGGATCCTCCCGGAGATTTGCTTGGTTGTCCTGATGGGTTGGAGCCGCTGGGTGACTTGCCAGGTTGTTCGCTGGATGGGTTGGAACCACTAGGTGACTTGCCAGGTTGTTCACTGGATGGGTTTGATCCACTAGGTGACTTGCTAGGTTGTTCTCCTGATGGATTTGATCCTCCCGGAGATTGTCCTGGTTGTTCTGACGGGTTTGAGCCACTGGGATTCTTGCCAGGTTGTTCCCCTGACGGATTGGATCCTCCCGGAGATTGTCCTGGTTGTCCTGATGTGTTGGAGCCGCTGGGTGACTTGCCAGGTTGTTCGCTGGATGGGTTGGATCCACTAGGTGACTTGCTAGGTTGTTCTCCTGATGGATTTGATCCTCCCGGAGATTGTCCTGGTTGTTCTGACGGGTTTGAGCCACTGGGATTCTTGCCAGGTTGTTCCCCTGATGGATTGGATCCTCCCGGAGATTGTCCTGGTTGTCCTGATGGGTTGGAGGCGCTGGGTGACTTGCCAGGTTGTTCGCTGGATGGGTTGGATCCACTAGGTGACTTGCTAGGTTGTTCTCCTGATGGATTTGATCCTCCCGGAGATTTTCCTGGTTGTTCTGACGGGTTTGAGCCACTGGGAGACTTGCCAGGTTGTTCGCTCGATGGGTTGGATCCTCCCGGAGATTTGCCTGGTTGTCCTGATGGGTTGGAGCCGCTGGGTGACTTGCCAGGTTGTTCGCTGGATGGGTTGGATCCACTAGGTGACTTGCTAGGTTGTTCTCCTGATGGATTTGATCCTCCCGGAGATTGTCCTGGTTGTTCTGACGGGTTTGAGCCACTGGGATTCTTGCCAGGTTGTTCCCTTGATGGATTGGATCCTCCCGGAGATTGTCCTGGTTGTCCTGATGGGTTGGAGCCGCTGGGTGACTTGCCAGGTTGTTCGCTGGATGGGTTGGATCCACTAGGTGACTTGCTAGGTTGTTCTCCTGATGGATTTGATCCTCCCGGAGATTTTCCTGGTTGTTCTGACGGGTTTGAGCCACTGGGAGACTTGCCAGGTTGTTCTCCTGATGGATTGGATCCTCCCGGAGATGGTCCTGGTTGTTCTGACGGGTTTGAGCCACTGGGAGACTTGCCAGGTTGTTCTCCTGATGGATTGGATCCTCCCGGAGATTGTCCTGGTTGTTCTGACGGGTTTGAGCCGCTGGGTGACTTGCCAGGTTGTTCGCTGGATGGGTTGGATCCACTAGGTGACTTGCCAGGTTGTTCTCTGGATGGGTTGGATCCTCCCGGAGATTTGCCTGGTTGTCCTGATGGGTTGGAGCCGCTGGGTGACTTGCCAGGTTGTTCGCTGGATGGGTTGGATCCACTGGGAGACTTGCCAGGTTGTTCTCCTGATGGATTGGATCCTCCCGGAGATTGGCCTGGTTGTCCTGATGGGTTGGACCCGCTGGGTGACTTGCCAGGTTGTTCGCTGGATGGGTTGGATCCACTAGGTGACTTGCTAGGTTGTTCTCCTGATGGTTTTGATCCTCCCGGAGATTGTCCTGGTTGTTCTGACGGGTTTGAGCCACTGGGAGACTTGCCAGGTTGTTCTCCTGGTGGATTGGATCCTCCCGGAGATTGTCCTGGTTGTTCTGACGGGTTTGAGCCACTGGGAGACTTGCCAGGTTTGTTGCTGGATGGTTCAGAGCTAGGAGATTGTGAACTTGAATTGCCAGAATTTTCACTAGATGGTTTGGAACTGCCAGGTAGTCCTTCTTTATCCTTTGACATGCCCGGTGACGATTCCGAGTTTTCCGATTTTCCAGGAGAGTTTGAAGGGTTTGAAGTTTTCTTCATACCACAAGTTCTTTGTTTGTTGTTTGATCGTGCTGATAAAGTTTTTGATAATATTACACAAATATTATCGTAGTATAAAGTTCAGGAAATATAAAAATATCTTAAATTTTTAATTAATAGTCAGTTCATTATTGAACTTACCTCGTGCATTTGTTTTAGCTGCACTTGATCCCGAGCCAGTGTTTTTAGCTGAAAATAATATAACAAGTGACTTACATAAAAATATATGATTTAGATTTTTTTATATACATACCTTTTTTAGTTTAATATGTATAATGTATATATTTTTAATTATCAATAATGAAATTATTTCTATTATTAAAAATTATATCTGTTGGTGGTTTGTCCATGTTAGTGCAAAACAAAATAGTGATGAACGTTTGTACCTTTAGAATTTCCTTTTGCTTTACTTGATCCTCTACCTTTGTTGTTCGCTGTCAGTAAGAAATTAAGAATTTGTTTAACATATTTCATTATTGAATAAATTTTATTAATTATACAAAAGCAAACCTTCAGCATTTGAGTCAGCTGCACTTGAACCATCGCCAGTATTATCCGCTATTCAAAATTAAATTAATGTCATCAGCAATAATCATATTAAAAAATAGAAAGATTTTATTAATAGTGAGTCTTACATAGAGCATTGCTGTCAGCGTTGCTTGATCCCTCGCATTCGTTATTCGCTGTAATAAAACAAAAATAACAAAACTTTTCTTCAAATACTGGTATGAAATTTAACTTTTGAAATTAAACTTAACACTTACCTTCAGAATTTCCATAAGCTTCACTAGATCCGGTACCACTATTTTCATCTACGAATATAAAAATAAACATATATTTTTTTATTTATGTGGTCTTGAAAAGAGGTTTTAAACGTATTCAATATATTGTCAACTAAAGCACTCCTGTAGACTGACCTGGTTCTTCTGATTGGTTAGGGCCACTGGACGACTGACCTGGTTGACCTGATGGGTTTGTCCCACTAGGAGACTTGCCAGGTTGTTCACTGGATGGGTTCGATCCACTAGGAGACTTTCCAGGTTGTTCGCTGGATGGGTTGGATCCACTAGGTGACTTGCTAGGTTGTTCTCCTGATGGCTTTGGTCCTCCCGGAGATTGGCCTGGTTGTCCTGATGGGTTGGAGCCGCTGGGTGACTTGCCAGGTTGTTCGCTGGATGGGTTGGATCCACTAGGTGACTTGCTAGGTTGTTCTCCTGATGGATTTGATCCTCCCGGAGATTGTCCTGGTTGTTCTGACGGGTTTGAGCCACTGGGATTCTTGCCAGGTTGTTCCCCTGATGGATTGGATCCTCCCGGAGATTGTCCTGGTTGTCCTGATGGGTTGGAGCCGTTGGGTGACTTGCCAGGTTGTTCGATGGATGGGTTTGATCCACTAGGAGACCTGCCAGGTTGTTCACTGGATGGGTTGGATCCACTAGGTGACTTGCTAGGTTGTTCTCCTGATGGATTTGATCCTCCCGGAGATTGGCCTGGCTGTCCTGATGGGTTGGAGCCGCTGGGTGACTTGCCAGGTTGTTCGCTGGATGGGTTGGATCCACTAGGTGACTTGCCAGGTTGTTCTCCTGATGGATTTGATCCTCCCGGAGATTTTCCTGGTTGTTCTGACGGGTTTGAGCCACTGGGAGTCTTGCCAGGTTGTTCCCCTGATGGATTGGATCCTCCCGGAGATTGTCCTGGTTGTCCTGATGGGTTGGAGCCGCTGGGTGACTTGCCAGGTTGTTCGCTGGATGGGTTGGATCCACTAGGTGACTTGCTAGGTTGTTCTCCTGATGGATTTGATCCTCCCGGAGATTGTCCTGGTTGTTCTGATGGGTTTGAGCCACTGGGAGACTTGCCAGGTTGTTCGCTGGATGGGTTTGATCCACTAGGAGACTTGCCAGGTTGTTCACTGGATGGGTTTGATCCACTAGGTGACTTGCTAGGTTGTTCTCCTGATGGATTTGATCCTCCCGGAGATTGTCCTGGTTGTTCTGACGGGTTTGAGCCACTGGGATTCTTGCCAGGTTGTTCCCCTGATGGATTGGATCCTCCCGGAGATTGTCCTGGTTGTCCTGATGTGTTGGAGCCGCTGGGTGACTTGCCAGGTTGTTCGCTGGATGGGTTGGATCCACTAGGTGACTTGCTAGGTTGTTCTCCTGATGGATTTGATCCTCCCGGAGATTGTCCTGGTTGTTCTGACGGGTTTGAGCCACTGGGATTCTTGCCAGGTTGTTCCCCTGATGGATTGGATCCTCCCGGAGATTGTCCTGGTTGTCCTGATGGGTTGGAGCCGCTGGGTGACTTGCCAGTTTGTTCTCCTGATGGATTGGATCCTCCCGGAGATTGTCCTGGTTGTTCTGACGGGTTTGAGCCACTGGGAGACTTGCCAGGTTGTTCTCCTGATGGATTTGATCCTCCCGGAGATTTTCCTGGTTGTTCTGACGGGTTTGAGCCACTGGGTGACTTGCCAGGTTGTTCGCTGGATGGGTTGGATCCACTAGGTGACTTGCTAGGTTGTTCTCCTGATGGATTTGATCCTCCCGGAGATTGTCCTGGTTGTTCTGACGGGTTTGAGCCACTGGGATTCTTGCCAGGTTGTTCCCCTGATGGATTGGATCCTCCCGGAGATTGTCCTGGTTGTCCTGATGTGTTGGAGCCGCTGGGTGACTTGCCAGGTTGTTCGCTGGATGGGTTGGATCCACTAGGTGACTTGCTAGGTTGTTCTCCTGATGGATTTGATCCTCCCGGAGATTTTCCTGGTTGTTCTGACGGGTTTGAGCCACTGGGAGACTTGCCAGGTTGTTCTCCTGATGGATTGGATCCTCCCGGAGATTGTCCTGGTTGTTCTGACGGGTTTGAGCCACTGGGAGACTTGCCAGGTTGTTCTCCTGATGGATTGGATCCTCCCGGAGATTGTCCTGGTTGTTCTGACGGGTTTGAGCCACTGGGAGACTTGCCAGGTTGTTCTCCTGATGGATTTGATCCTCCCGGAGATTTTCCTGGTTGTTCTGACGGGTTTGAGCCACTGGGAGACTTGCCAGGTTGTTCTCCTGATGGATTGGATCCTCCCGGAGATTGTCCTGGTTGTTCTGACGGGTTTGAGCCACTGGGAGACTTGCCAGGTTGTTCTCCTGATGGATTTGATCCTCCCGGAGATTTTCCTGGTTGTTCTGACGGGTTTGAGCCACTGGGTGACTTGCCAGGTTGTTCGCTGGATGGGTTGGATCCACTAGGTGACTTGCTAGGTTGTTCTCCTGATGGATTTGATCCTCCCGGAGATTGTCCTGGTTGTTCTGACGGGTTTGAGCCACTGGGATTCTTGCCAGGTTGTTCCCCTGATGGATTGGATCCTCCCGGAGATTGTCCTGGTTGTCCTGATGGGTTGGAGCCGCTGGGTGACTTGCCAGGTTGTTCGCTGGATGGGTTGGATCCACTAGGTGACTTGCTAGGTTGTTCTCCTGATGGATTTGATCCTCCCGGAGATTGTCCTGGTTGTTCTGACGGGTTTGAGCCACTGGGAGTCTTGCCAGGTTGTTCCCCTGATGGATTGGATCCTCCCGGAGATTGTCCTGGTTGTCCTGATGGGTTGGAGCCACTGGGTGACTTGCCAGGTTGTTCGCTGGATGGGTTGGATCCTCCCGGAGATTTTCCTGGTTGTTCTGACGGGTTTGAGCCACTGGGATTCTTGCCAGGTTGTTCCCCTGATGGATTGGATCCTCCCGGAGATTGTCCTGGTTGTCCTGATATGTTGGAGCCGCTGGGTGACTTACCAGGTTGTTCGCTGGATGGGTTGGATCCACTAGGTGACTTGCTAGGTTGTTCTCCTGATGGATTTGATCCTCCCGGAGATTGTCCTGGTTGTTCTGACGGGTTTGAGCCACTGGGATTCTTGCCAGGTTGTTCCCCTGATGGATTGGATCCTCCCGGAGATTGTCCTGGTTGTCCTGATGGGTTGGAGCCGCTGGGTGACTTGCCAGGTTGTTCGCTGGATGGGTTGGATCCACTAGGTGACTTGCTAGGTTGTTCTCCTGATGGATTTGATCCTCCCGGAGATTTTCCTGGTTGTTCTGACGGGTTTGAGCCACTGGGAGACTTGCCAGGTTGTTCTCCTGATGGATTGGATCCTCCCGGAGATTGTCCTGGTTGTTCTGACGGGTTTGAGCCACTGGGAGACTTGCCAGGTTGTTCTCCTGATGGATTGGATCCTCCCGGAGATTGTCCTGGTTGTTCTGACGGGTTTGAGCCACTGGGAGACTTGCCAGGTTGTTCTCCTGATGGATTTGATCCTCCCGGAGATTTTCCTGGTTGTTCTGACGGGTTTGAGCCACTGGGAGACTTGCCAGGTTGTTCTCCTGATGGATTGGATCCTCCCGGAGATTGTCCTGGTTGTTCTGACGGGTTTGAGCCACTGGGAGACTTGCCAGGTTGTTCTCCTGATGGATTTGATCCTCCCGGAGATTTTCCTGGTTGTTCTGACGGGTTTGAGCCACTGGGTGACTTGCCAGGTTGTTCGCTTGATGGGTTGGATCCACTAGGTGACTTGCTAGGTTGTTCTCCTGATGGATTTGATCCTCCCGGAGATTGTCCTGGTTGTTCTGACGGGTTTGAGCCACTGGGATTCTTGCCAGGTTGTTCCCCTGATGGATTGGATCCTCCCGGAGATTGTCCTGGTTGTCCTGATGGGTTGGAGCCGCTTGGTGACTTGCCAGGTTGTTCGCTGGATGGGTTGGATCCACTAGGTGACTTGCTAGGTTGTTCTCCTGATGGATTTGATCCTCCCGGAGATTGTCCTGGTTGTTCTGACGGGTTTGAGCCACTGGGAGTCTTGCCAGGTTGTTCCCCTGATGGATTGGATCCTCCCGGAGATTGTCCTGGTTGTCCTGATGTGTTGGAGCCGCTGGGTGACTTGCCAGGTTGCTCGCTGGATGGGTTTGAACCAGCAGGAGACTTGCCAGGTTGTTCACTGGATGCGTTGGATCCTCCTGGAGACGCTGTACTAGAATTTCCAGCTTGCTCACTAGATGGTTTGGAACCAGGAGATTGTGAACTTGAATTTCCAGATGATTCACTAGATGGTTTGGAGCTGCCAGGTAATCCTTCTTTATCTTTTGACATGCCCGGTGAAGATTCCGAGTTTTCCGATTTTCCAGGAGAGTTTGATGGATTCGAAGATTTCTTTATGCCACAAGTCCTTTGTTTATTGTTTGATCTTGCTGTTGAAGTTTTTATAATAGTACACAAATATTGTTGTAACATAAAGTTAAGTTAATATAAATATGTTTAATTTTTTTAATTACTGTCATTTATAAGTAGAACTTACCACGTGCATTTGTATTAGCTTGACTTGATCCTGAGCCTCTATTTTTGGCTTAAAACAATACGAGAAATTATAGTTTATTCTATTTAGAATTTTTAATGCATACATTTTGAAGTTTAATATTCATCACTTAATACTTAATTTTTTTTTATTAGTTATACGTGGTACACAGCAATAAATTATTATAAATAATAATTAAATAGATCAATTAAATTATTTCTATTGTATTATATGTAGTGGCTACATGCACTTAATTTCAAAACATAATGAACGAACATTTTGTACCTTTAGAATTTCCTTTTGCTTTACTTGATCCTCTGCCTTTATTGTTCGCTGTCAGTAAAAAATTAAGAAATTATTTAATATATTTCACAATTGACCAAAAGTTTATTTATTATTCAAAAGTTAACCTTCAGCGTTTGAGTCTGATGCACTTGATCCATCGCCAGAATTATCCGCTGTTTTAAATTAAATTAATGTCATAAATAGTACATATATTAAAAAAAACTTAATGCTTTTGTTTAGAGTAAGTCTTACATAGAGCATTGCTGTCAGCTTCACTGGTTCCTCCGCATTCGTTATTCGCTGTAATAAAATAAAACTCAAAAATCTTTCTTAAAATACGGGTATGAACTTAATTTTTGAAATTAAACGTAACACCGACCTTCAGAATTTCCATAAGCTTCACTAGATCCGCTACCTTTATTTTCAGCTATGAATATATTAATAAACATAATTTTTTATGTGTCAATAATAATAGAGGATTATAAATTAATTAGTATATTGTAAATCATATCATACCTCTGGTATTTGAATCTGATTTACTTGAACCTGACCCTATGTTGTTTGCTATAACATTTATTAATTGGATTATTCATCAAATTTATACAAATAATAATCATCCAAAATTTTCTCAACATATGATATCGTTTGCTTGTTTTTTACCTTCAGAGTCGGTGTCCGCTTCACTCGTCCCTCTACCTCTGTTGTTAGCTGTAAAATTAATGTCGAATCAAACTTTAAAGAGAACAGTTTAAGATAAAGTACATGAAAAAGAGAGTTTCATACATACCTTCAGCGTTACCGACAGCTTCGCTTGATCCTGCTCCTCTGTTGTTAGCTGTAATTATACATAAAAATAAACAATCATAAATTATTAATTTCTCATTTTAAGAACAATATTTATTAGTGACTTGTATTGAAGTTATTATATTTTATATAATTGAGATTTTATTACCTTCGACAGCTCCGCTAGCTTCACTAGAACCAACGCCACTGTTCTTGGCTGAAAAACAGTATAAAGGGTGACAAAGAATTCAAAATAGAATTTTTAAATTTTAAGCTCATTTGAATGTGAATAATTAATCACCTTTAACATTTGAATCTGCCATACTTGACCCCTTGCCTCTGTTGTCCGCTGTTGATGACCAATGTTAATAAGTTGATATTATTTTTTTAATCGTCGTTTTTTTTTTAATAGTCGTGAATATAAATATGAAAATTTAAGAAGTCTTACCATCAACGGTATTATCAGCTTCGCTCGTTCCGCTTCCATTATTATCCGCTAAATTTGCATTAAATATTATATTAATAGTGGCTAATTAGGTACTCTGTGAGAGTTCAAGATACCTTAAGACCAACCTTCGGAGCTTCCAACAGCTTTACTAGAACCTTTTCCGCTGTTTGTAGCTGTAAAAAATATACAACTCATGTTAGATCTCGGATTTCACATTTGGATGTCACGTTATGTATTTCAGTACAAACCTTCGACGTCTGAGTTTGCTATGCTGGAGCCTGAGCCTTCGTTTTTAGCTGTCAATGAGAAATGTATTAAACTATAAATATTTAAAAGACATAATAGACTTTCAAGAATAAATACCTTTAGCATTACTATCCGCTTCGGTGTTTCCTTTGCCTTTATTATCAGCTACAAACAGAAGATTCAAAATATTACCACTATTTGGGAACGAACATAATACAACTTGTACCTTAAAACGTCTTAATGTTTCTATCAGATAGACGAAACTACCTTTAAAATTTAGCAACAATACTTACTAATTACTTTAGCAATAATTACTGATTCAGGCTAAATTATTCTATACGTCTTGATTATCAACAATAATATTTAGTACATTTAATTAATTGTAAAACTATATAGGATAATAATATCTAAGAATTTTAAGAGTACGTATTTGAATTAAAATATTATATGATATAAATATTTTTAAACCTCCTTATGTAATAGTAAGAATTGGTACGCACTATAAGAATCTATAAAGAGAAAGAGATTTATGTAATCAAAATAAATTGGTATAAAAGTAAAAGACCTTAATATTGTATCTACTGGGAGATATCCATATCTTTAAAACGGACATCTAAGTCCAGTAGTTTTTAATTGCTAAGAGATTTGTATTTGTTTTGCTTAGCATTTATTACTTATTCCCATATAAATAAAGTTGTAAAGAGTTGTTGATTTCTAAGTCAGGACAAATTAGAAAAATTCGATAGTCAATCCACAAATTATATATGTATGAATAGGATAACTCATTCTATTAATGAAAATAACATTTGAGTATAACACTTAGAACAAATATTATTCTTTTATTTTTCTAAATAGTTTCGCAGATTCAAACCAGTTTTTCGAATTGCTATTTTATTATTTTAATTATCAGAATTGGCTAAGTCAACTTACCATCTGCATTCGAGTCGGCTTGACTTAAGCCACTGCCACTATTATCGGCTATAAAATATAAATAAGTGTTAATAACAGTATAAACTTTGAACACATTTTTAATCTATTAAGCAAATATATTGCATAAAAAACTATAAGATAACTTCAACGGATATAAATAATAACAGAGTTAAAGTATTAAAAGTATACTCTAGAATGATATGTAATGTCCAAATATTTTTATTTAAATTCGATTTACCATTTGCCGTTGCATCTGCTTCACTCGGTCCGGAATCGTTTTCATCATCGGCTAAAACAAAAATGTATGATTACAGTTATATTTTTTTAAATTCTTTCATTGATTTAAAGAAAAGATAAATGCTTGCGCATATTTTGTGAGAACTAACGAAAATATACTTCTTTAAAACTTTTTGTTAAGCAAATTTTTAACAGAGGAAACGATTGCTTCGGAGAAATGAATTAGTACATACTTCTTAGGAAATCATTAAACCAAACTTAAATAAATTAAAAGGAAAATATGCTTACATTCAGCGTTAGCTGTTGCCGTACTCTTGCCTCCGCCATGACTTATCGCTTAAATTTATAAATTGATTAAAATACATAGAAAAAATGAAAGTAAAAAAGTATTAATTTATTAACATAATATGGTTGTAGTCCTAACTAGATCTTATGCAATTTGGTATTTTTCATACTTAAATTGCATAAGATCTATTTAACATATTTGGTTCACTTAAATCACAAATATATATAACTATAGTTTTTAACACTTAGATGTGTTTGAACTTTCCACAACCTTAAAGAATAACAAACATAATTTGTTAATTAAAATCAAAAACAATGATAAATTAATATTAAATTTAATATAAAAAAGAAGGTAACTTAAGCAAGGGCATCTTACCACGAGCATTTGCTTTGGCCACAGAACCTTGGTCAGACTCCGGTTCTGCACTGACTGATGAAGAAAGAAATTTAAAATAGAAATTATATGAATATTAGTTATTCATGAATATAAAATATCGAAATTATAAAAAAATAATATTACTTACTGGGTTCTATAGCTATCAGGCCAAAGGGCCCCACTAGTAATAAAAGTAGTACTAGATGCTTTGTACCCATTATTCTTGGGCCCAAAGTACTGCTGTGTGTTATAATTTTTCAATTATTTATATGGGAAAAGGTTGTAAAAATTGATAAAAGTTTATTAAAAAATCGTGTTAGACATGTAATAAAATCGATAAATAACCGATCTATTGTCTCATCGTGATTCCTTTCTTGATAATTTAATTTTATGTACACTTAATAATTTTATTATTCGAATGTTAAATAACCCATAATAAAGAAAGACAACATAAATTTTAAAACCAAACAATAATCAAACCTTTAATGTTAAAATAATTTTGGCCTCTAAAAGTCGCATTGGGTAGAACATAATTTGACTCAGGAATATGAACATCTTGTAGTTATGGCTTCAGTGTGGAATAGGTTCAATAAAGTTATCGAAGCTCCCTCAATTTTGCTGGCACATTCAAATGCATTTTTGTCATTTATGTGGTGCTTTCTTTGAGGTATTCCTTTTTCACAAGCTCTTATATAACTTGCCATATATGTAATTTGTTTCTGTAAAATCTTGCAACTCTATTATGAAATGATGTATACAAATTAAAATTTTGTATACACAAATATAGTTTAGTGGATAAATTTACTATTTATATAACTTAATGTGATTGATTTAAACTCTCAAATTATTCAAACTAAATAAATACGAGGTTTCAGTAAATACTTTTTTTTTAGACTATCAAAGTCCACTGCCAAACGAAGGCCCATTTCTCTCATGGAGAAGGTTTGAGCATTAATCACCACGCTTGCTCAAGACGGGTTGGTGATGTCAAACTTGTAATTGTGAAATTATAAATCCAGGTTTTCTCACAATGTTTTCCTTCACCGTCTGTCAACTCTTAGAAAGTACATATGACTCGGAAAAATCACATTGGTACTTGCCAGCATCGAACCCTTACCCTCGGCAACTAGAGACAGGCGCTTTAACCACTAGGCTACCACTGACTAGTAAATACATACGAATATTTAAATTTTACGACAAGCTTTCAAATAATAGCTGTATAATTTAAAAAATTATTCATCTTAGCGCTTTCTAAAGAAAAGAAAATTTTTATACAGTTTTTTTTTACCTTCTATTTTTACAGATATGTGAAGTGCGTAAAAAATGTTGCTATTGTAATGGTTTTTAATATATTTATAATTATTGTAGTAATATATTAGTATAATTAAAAAAAAACGGTCTCTAGAAATAAAAATCATTTACATATCAAGGTGATAAATGGGCCGAACATAGATATTAAAAAGTTTATATTAATATTTCTCTCATTTTTACAGGTTGTGATTATCAAGTTTACAAACATAATTTATACTTTTGATAACAAAATGGTTAATAGGAATGTGGTTGAAAAGCTATATTAAGGTAAGTATTTGTTAAGGAATGAAGGAAGAAATTTTAGTGTAAATGAAACAGAATAATTAGATTTGTGAGTATAAAGTCCTTTATCTTTTTTCATTCACGTTTTAATTTGTGAATCATTTTTTAATAAGGATACGATTCAAGTCTAATAATTAAGTATTAAAATCACCCCTAATTAAGAAGTATTGAGAATAGAAATAATCTGAAATTTTTATTAGTATTCTATAATCTTTTTAAGGTACTGTTGTTCAACTATCATTAATAGAAGTTACTAGAAAGACATTATTAACTTGGATATTTTATTGAACTATAATTTTATTCAATATAATATAGAAAAAAATAACACTTTGTAGCTATACTTTAGGTAATATTATTAAAGTTATATGCAGTAACATGGAAGCAAGGTGCAGTAAAAAACATTCACAGCAAATATTTAAATTGATACGCACGCTATGTTGAGACAGTATGTAAGAATTATTATTAAAATATATTTTTTTTATTCGTATCTTAAAAAAATTTATGTTTTTAATTTAATTTAGTGCGTGTGAAATTAAAGTCCTTTATACATAATTTCCAATATAACTAACGGTAAATTGTACGCAGCAAGTTGAAGAATTGATAGGACGAACTCATTATCTGTAAAGGAAAAGATGTTAATTTATAATATAACAGTGTTTTTAAATATAACCAAAGTATTTACTTAGAAAAGTAGAACATAGACGATGTGTTTAAATAATATATAAAGATAAATAGAAAGATACATTTAAAAACCAGAATAATCAAAATAAACTCTAAAACAAGAAACAAGTGATCTTACTCTACTAAATGTATCCATATTCATGGTTATGTAACCATTTCCAGTAAGTTTAAACGGTTTTTGTGTTCTCATTATAAACAATAGAATTATTTTCTTTGCTTCGGGACTAGCGCTGGTCCAATCCCAAGAGTATATTGTGTCAGCCAATTCTACACTCTGTAAAATATATATTTAAAATATATTATTACAATATGTTTTATTTAAATTACATTAAAATTTAAACAATTTAACCCAGTTTGAATATTCCTTTATTTAAATTTAAAACACTGATACTTTTTAAATAGTTAATATTTATAGGAACATACTTACGTGATCACTTAATATTTGTCCAATGACACATTGATTAAAAATTTCAACCAATAAAGAAATGCACATGAAAAAGTATCTCAATGATTTGTATAAATTATCTACCATCTAAAATATTAGTAAAAAATAAATCATTATACCAAAGTCTTAAAAAAGTATTCATAATAAAAAAATTACCGTGCTTGTAAAAGCTGTTAAACAAATAAATATGGATCCCAAAGAATAGTTTAGAAGCATGGCATCTCCTAAAACCAAGTTAAGTTTTGCGGCCGTTCTAAAAATTAAAATATAATTTTATTATAAAAATCATCTTGACGTTAAATATTTAATTAAATCAACTCACTTTGCTAAATATTCATGCTTGGAAATAATAACTTTTAATTTTCTTATAACATCTTTATCTGCTTCTTTTTTTGTTCTTCCAATAACTTGAATAGCGCCTTCAGGGTTTTTAATCTCTTTCAAACAACTTCCAAGGATCCTCAGTTCCATACAAATAAACACAATATATGAGGTGTGTATCATATTAGAAAATACATAAACAAATACAACAATAGCAGTCATGCAGCTTTCCCAAATGTAAACGGCAGCGTACCATTTGACTCTATCAAAAGGGTACCATCCATCGAAGGGATATAAATATTGATCAGTTACGTGATTAAATTTATTTTCATATATCATGACGAGATATGGAAACGAGTCAACGACAACGATTAATGGAATGGAGTAATAAAATAAGAAACGATTAATCGACTTCGCTATCCATTTATATCTCTTTATAATTTTTTGATGCGACGGTGAATTCGATGACACAATGTCCCAAATATCATAACGAAAATGATGATATAATTTGTGGTACACCTCTTTATATGTATGTAGTTTCGTATACTTTATTACGGCCATTATAACTACTCCTAAATTAGGAGCAACATTAATAATCTCAAGCCAATCATTTGAAGAATTTGAACACAACGTTAAAAATAATTGTATTGCTGTGCAAAGAACCAGAGTATATATTATTTTATAGCATATCAATTGATTTCTCTTTTTGTTTATAAAAGGGTAAATAAATATTTTTGCACCCAAAGACTTGAGAAAATTCAATTCAAGCAGAATTTCTTGTCTTAGCAACGTTTTGCTGGACATGTTGAAGGAGACACAGTCACGAAACAAATGAAATTGGCTTTAAATTTACCACATACCATAATAAAATAGTATTTGCCCTTAACGATCAGACTAAGTGTAGGAATTAATTTAAGATATCCTTTGGGTCGTATTTATTAATACTAAAACTGCACCATTAATTACTTCAGTTTTAATGATACTAAAATCAATTTATAAATTCAAGTGTTATTTTTTAGTTTTGTGTTAAGATCAACTTTCTAATAATTCTAATGACATTTATTATCTTTCATAATATAGTATAGTACTCGTTTATATTACTGTTCTGTTTATATTTACATTCAAAGCTGATCTATTCATGACTGATGGAACAGGTACTTTAAAAAATTAACAACAAGCCTATTCAAAATTTATTTCCTCTTAAAAAACCCAGAGAAATCCAATAGGTTTCCTGAGAAACCCAAAAATTTTTATAAATTATTATAATTTCCAAATGGATGAAGTGTTTAAAATCGTAAGGTATAAATAGTGTGATATCTTTGAGATGTCAAACGATTTATTCAGTAAAAATTACAGAGTGCTCAAGCGAAAGAAATTAATACATATGTACTTTGTCAGTCATGTCAGTGTACAATTATAAAGAACTTTAATTCTTTTCCATTTATTTGAATTACTAGGAACGATTGACTTGAATTACGTTTTAATTTAATTCTTATAAAAAAGATTCATATAAATCACTGTACATGATTTATATGAATCTTTTTTATAAGAACTAGATGTACTTAAGATACATCAAAATATAGTATGTATATTGTTCAATAGATATGTGTTCCTAAATCTTTTTTATTGAAGTTCATTATGAATATAATTTTTTTTTTAATAAAAATAATACATCTAATATTTTTTTTTTGTATAAACCAAACGGAGTTATTGATAACTTATAATGAATTTACAAATGATTCGTTTTAATCTAAATAGGTCAAGGAGCACTCAAAGGTAGCGATTGCTTATAATTTTGCCCTCATTGTTCGGAGCAATCTAGAGGGAACTCCACAATAGATTTGGAGCTCTTTGATGCATGCTTAATATGGACATTAATCCGATGAGAGTATGTCATCCACTTCATGCTAATGTACCCAAGGCTTTTGTATAATTTCGTAATTCCCTTTGCTTATTTGTGGGGACATATGATACGTTCTGTTTATATATTTGATACATAGATTCGAGATTTTCATTATTTACTAATAAGTGTACTATATTTCTATAACAAAAGTCGAATTATAAATAAAATTTGAGTGGAAAATGACATTATGGAGGATGTCGCATTTAAATCAGTTTTTTTTTGATAAAGCATAATGCATATTTTTTTGGGAATAAAAGCCATGACATCTCTATTTG